GGCGGGTCCCGGGCGGTGGGCGGGCCCAGGGGCGCGGCAGCAGGCCCTAGGCAGCTTGAGCCTGCAGGTTCCGGTGCCGCCTGGGACAGGCAGACGTCAGGACATCCTTGGGGACAGCCACGTGGTTTCGCCTCACCCGTGGGCCTGGCAGAACCATGGGCGGGAAGAGGGGTGCTGCTGGGACCCCTGAGTTCACTCCAGTGGCCACCAGTGCCTGCCCCCAGTGACCACGATGGCTGTCCCATAGATGCCAAGCAAGACCAGAAGGAGGAAGCCCCGAGAGGTGGCCGTGCAGTTGCACAGAGTCCGTCTCACCCCAGGACCTGGCGGGCCTTCGTCCCCCAGTACCTAACATCCCCAGAAAGCAGCGGCGCCCACACCTCCCCCAGGCAGCCCCTCCGGCAGACACAGGTCACCAGACCCGCAGGCGTGACGGGCAGGGCTGGTTCTCAGGGCGGTTCTCCCCAGTGGCCCCCAGCAGGACCAAGTCCAGACTGGACAAGGCCTGTCCAAGCCCACAGGTGTCTGTGCGTCCACCCCAGTCTCCAGCGGCTGACCTGGAAGGAGCTGGAACAATGCCCCGAGGCTGCTGTGGGGCTGCCCTGGCCTTGGCAGAGACTCCGGGCACACGGGGACAGCTAAGTGTCCCCCGGGACTGCTGGGCGAGGCCACAGCTGACCACAGGGACAGCCTGCACCGGCCTGTGGGCTCAACGGGGCTGGCGGCCGAGGCTGCCCTCTCGCAGCTGACCCGCCCCCTACGCCCCCTCGTGAATGTCCCCACGTGCCCCTCAGCCCACTGCCGATGGCCAGCGAAGGAGGACAGGGGCCAGCAGCTCCTGCTGCCCTGCTGAGCACCGCCTCACCCTGCAGAGCGACCGCCCAGGAGGCCATGCTCGTGGGGTGCAGCCCTGCGCCCCCAAGCCCACTGAGGCATCCGCACCCGGGACAGTGGGGTGGCCGTCCCAGCACCCGCCCCGGCTCCACGCAGGAGGCTGCGCAAGGTGCCCCTGCCCCTGGAGCGAGGCTGGGCGGAGGCACCCTGGGCTTGAGCCCCATCGGCCAGCAGCCTGCCCGCGCCTGGCCCCAGTCAGCCTCCGGCTGCACGCAGGACAGGCCAGA